TTTTTTTTTTTGTTATTTTAGAACGTCTGAACGCTTAGACGAGGTTATACTTGAAATTCTGGGTTGTAATTCAAGGCGTTTACTGAGTGGAACAATGATTCAAGGCTTGGGAGTTGTGCTGACAACCAATGGTAATAGGTCTTTTATGGAGATTGGACTTCCCGAAGAGCCTCAAATAACTCTGGGTAAAATTTATGGACCTAACAGAGCACTTCTTTATACGGTACGAACTGATTACAGTTGTTTTTTGGAATGGCATGTTTACCGTCTTTAGTTCAAAAATAAAAAGAAATCAAGTTGAAAAGTTTCAGGTAGAATTTGATGACAGACAAGGGAACTGCGATCGTTGGAATATAATGAAAGATGATGAACTGTTTATAACAGTTGAAGTGAAGAAGCTTATGAAGGCAACCTTTATCTTTTTTTATTTACATTTCCTTCAAATTCTTTTAACAGTTCTTGAGTTTTTATTTTTGAAGAGGAGCTTGATAAAAATATCCGGCATCATAAAATTGTTGTTTAAGTGCATTATATTTTAGATTATGTCTTGCTTGTCAGCTTTGTCCAGATGCTGCCTTTGCAAGAAAGGGGATCAAGAACTAAGCTATTACAGTTTGGACAGAAAATCACAAGTTGGTCGGACAGCACAAGGGATTTGTAAAAAAGGAAAAAATGTCATCGTATATTTTCGGTATGTTTCGTTGCATTTAGTTACACTAAACAGATTTACGGTTAGACTTGAATGCACAACAGCTTTTTGTAATCGACTGTTTTCTACTAACTATTATACGAAATCGCATTACTTGCTAAAATTTTTTACACTGAACCTAAAAGTATACGGAGTGCTTGCTGATGGTTTCAAGCTTCCAGAGTTGTTGTTGCGAAAGCCAATGCCTTTTGGATGTGTAATTAATTGTTTTTCTGACTGCTCAAAAAATTTTATTGCTCAAAAAAAGCATGGTGAATGTGCTTTAAAGCTCTCTTGTGCTCTCTTTTTTTTCAAACAGTACAAAATTATTTGTTTGTTCAAATTAATATCGTCTTGGGTACTGTTTAGACCAACAGCTTCAACAGAAGAGCGTTTGGCCTTGTTAGGTACATCAATACTTTTCGTTATTGAAGTCCTTTACCCGCAATACGCAGAATGGGTTCGACTAAATGAAACAAACCAATCTTGATGCGCAGTGGCTTTGCTGTACATACTTTTTTTCCTCTTTTTTTTTGGTACTTTAGATGTTACCAAGTTATATGCCAGTATATGTAGAATAAACGGATTTCGCTGCATCGTGTTATTCAAATACGGCATCGACTCAAACATGCATTTTATCTTGATTATCTGTTGAATATTCTTAAACTCTTAAAAGAAACCTTACTGCTTATATCTTCGAAAACTTATAAATTTCTATTTATCAATTCGTTTCTGTTTAGGCGTAGGTAAGTGACATTTTTTGAGTGTCTCATAATTATTTCATAATTACTTTGCGCTTTTTGAAATTTATTTTATTTTTTTTTCTCGTTAAACGAAAGGTAGGAGGGAGAGGTGAGGCAAGGTGGGTGTAGCTGTATATGCACTTTTTATTGAGATTTTGATACTGATTTATTGCCATTTTTGACCAAAGTAAGAGATAGACAGATGTATGATTTATGCATTATTCTTTTTTATGTTTCAACGATGCGTGTTGCTGATCGGTTGTCAGTTCCTTCTGCTCATTCCATTCTTTTGGTGCTTTTTAAACCAGATTTCTTGAGCACCAAAGTATTTTGGACATTCGGTACTGTATGTGGTGTCTAATATGCACACCTCGTTTAATCACCAAACGTTTCATCCGTTGCTTTCCTAATGTTTTAAAGTTTTTCACAACCCTTCCTCGGCTTTTCTCTCGGGCCTGTAGACATCCTAAGTTACATTTTTTTGTGCTTAGCACGTCAGTGTCTTGGAAAATAGCCGTTCTTTTGAAATGAACAGTATCAACTGTTGCCTATTTCGACTTGCTTTCCTGGATGCTTGGCCGCACAATTGCCATTTCTTTGAAATTTAAATTAGTGAGCTTGTTTCGTGAAAACGAAAAGATAAACAAATATCGAATTTTTTGGTCACTTGGATCTTATCTTTTTACGACACAAAAATTTGTTCTCACCTATCTTATTTGTGAGTATTAACTTCTGTATATTCTTTTTTTTGAGTGTCTTTACAGCAAATGGGGCTATAAATATGTACACATTTTATTTATAATTTTATGCTCACTATATTGCCACCGTACCGAAAACAACAGGAGAATGAATATTTGATAAAGGTATTATCCTTTTTTTATGTCAACGCTGTCTTTTGCTGGCATGTTGTCAACTTCTGCTTATTCTCTCCTCTTCATGCCAGATATTTCTGCATAAAAAAGTCTTTTAAGTATTCGGTATTTTGTTCAGCATTTATCATATACAACTTGATAAGCGACAGGCATTTTATTCAGTACTTTCCCATGTTTTTTTTAAAGTTTTTGTACGATTTTTTTGCTTTATACATTTGCAAACATTCTACGCTACGCTATTTTATGCTCATATTATGCTCTGTTTAGCAGGAAAAATCAACAAACGCTTTGGGATTTCCATAATTACAGAATTAAAAAATATTACTTACTACCTCTTTTTATTTGTCTTACTCGATACTTCGTTATATACAGTCAACCTTTTTCTGCAGTTTGTTTGGTAAGCTTATTTAGTAACTGGGAATTGAAAGCCACCAACAAATTTTTTGCTTTGTTAACCCTTGCTTTTCCGAAGAATGAAAACCTATATTGATTATTAGAGGTTGCATTTGTAATTTTCAAAAAGAGGTAAAGCTGCTTTTAAATTTCTGAAATACATTTTGAGACTTGATTTCCCCTCCAAGTGTCAGCCGGAGGAAACAGTTTTGGCTGTTGTAACTTTTCAACGTTTTGCAGGCAAAATCTGATTTTCATTATACATTTTGCCTAGATACCCAACTTTTAGAAACTAAACTTTTCTCAGTGTTGACTGGCCTCACTTTTTCAATTTGTTTATTAACGCTGTACGAATACTGGTTTTCATATTTATATATGTTTTTTGCCTAGTTCGTAAGCAAATGTATAATTATACTAAGCAGTATTTTACTTTAGACTTTGGACTTCCAGACTTGCACCGGCGGCATCGATTGCTTTTACACTTTAGTCATTTTGTTGGCAAGATTACCCCTCTATTTAGGCACAACGTTATTTGAAAAGTTTTACTCAGAGAAGCATGAGTAGAATAAGGTTAGTTTGGATAGAGTAAGGTTTGGATCAGCTTATTTTCGCAGTGCCACAAAAGTATGTAAAATTTAGTACTTTATTTTGCTATAAGGACCATTTCACACTGGTAATTTGTGTCTATAAAAGTGCATTCTCAGAATAACGAGCGAAAAAAGAGGCTTGTTTAGTGGGTTCTTCACCAAAATTCGCCGCTGACTCTTACAAAGAGTTTTGACAGCGCAGATATCATGTTTTTGGCTTCGTTTAGCTATCCACTTAGTTTTTTAAACTTCTTATGTTACTCTTGTTTTCTGGTGCTGGTAGAATTTTTTTTTGTGCGACACCGACTTTTTTAAATTTTTTTGGTTTTTAAAACCACTACAAATAGTTGTTGCCTAAGCTTTACTAGGTTTGTTTCCTCATTCTGTGCTGGTTTTTTGCTGGATTCTTTTAGGACTCTTATATTCTGTTAACTGGCAAGGTGGAAATTAAATTTCTTGTTGAGGTTGTGCCACTAGGTGTGCTTATTACTTTGCTTAAAAAACTTGAATTGAATGACTTTGGCCTTAAGCGTTTCTTAAACATTGAGAACTCCACCTACTTGTATTTTGGCAGAAATAAAGGTCGCTACTGGGTTCAGTTA